TAAGGGGTGTCCCGTTTACATTTCAAAAAAACATTTTGTTGCTTAACCTACCGCATTCCGTATCGTGTTTCTTATAGGAGATAATAAAGGAAAAAATGACTACAAATAACAAAAAAAAGGGAAAAAATTTAATTTTGCTGATTTAACATTTAATTTTTTTGTCTCGGTAAATATTCATGTAGACAAAATTAGCGGTCAAGCTACCAAAAAGCTTTTAATGTTTTTTCAGAAGCTTGGCTGTAGATGAGATGATCTAATCCAAATATAATGGAATATTGGGAAGAGAAGAGGTTTAAGTATCCCAATTTGTTAAATCTGGCTAGGGTTGTGCACTCTGTTCCTGCAACTCAAGCCAGTGTAGAGAGGACGTTTTCTGCTCTAAATTGGTGCTTACAAATTTGAGGATCCGTTGCAAAAACTTCTTTTTGTAAAATTAAACAAATAAATCATTTCAAAAATAAAATGCATGTATTAATAAAAAAAAACAAATAGGTGGGCCTAAAAACATGTTTTTTGGGTTCGTCTTAATTCAATTAGTAAGGATATGTATCAATTTTCTTTCAGCTCCCCATGATATTTTCATTATTTAACTTTTAGTTTTATATTTGAGTGAAAAAATAAAACTCAAAGTTTAATCATTATTTTTGAGTTGTCTTTTTTTTTTGGTCAAACATAATTATTTTGGATAATTATTAATAATAATTAGTATCAGTAATGATTATCCTAAAAACTTAAACAAAATTATGATTGTGTGATTTTTTGAACATAACTTATAATGATTACGGTCCCTGATTAGAATACATACTCGTATATGTACAATGTACATACATTGCTATCAAAAGCAATTAGTTTTGCATTCGGACTAAACATTGTTTGGTTGTGTTTAATTTCAAGTCCCCTATAGGTAAGCAATCCCTCTATCTAATGTAGGTTCTTGTTAAGATAATTGTGGGATTTTTTGAAGCGTTCTTCCCGTTACCCATACAATTATGTGTCTAATGAACTGGGCAACTTAGTAAAACTCGTGTTGATCGATATAAAAGATCGCTTTTGCGAAGATCAAAAGCAAAACCGAGACCAAGACCACCAAGCCAAATGAATTTTCCGCTTTGATCCTGCCGTAGCCGCTCGCCATTGTAGTTGGTAATCGCACCAGGTGACGGAGGCCTCGGCTTGACAGAGGCCAGCGCTGTAGGAAGAGGCCGTGTATACATGTAGCACTGTAGTGACAAGGGAATAGTTTGGAGGTGTCTCTTTTCATACGCCAGAGCATTGTGCGAAAAGTAGCAGTTTCCTCTTCGATTCTCTGCCTCTGTCCTTACTCATCGATCGGCACTTTTGTGATCTTCGTGGGTAGGCCTAAGTGTTGTCTCTCGATGGGCTACAAAATAGTTAGAAAGACACCTTCAATTTGCTTTCAAATAGCCGACAAATTGGGTATACTCGTACTTGGGGCCACCAACATTGATTTTTAGTACGGAATTTCAAGATTGAGAGCCTTTCTAACTAGCACTGCAATTACTCTTAGTTAGTGCGTCTCTCCGTCGCCTTTTCATCGCCTACACATACGGATCGGTACCGCATTCAAAACCCAACTCAATTTGCAACGCTTCTCCAAAATCTTTGACCCGAAATGAAAAATATCTGAAATGAGAACATGACCAAGAACAAAAATGTATCCCATTTGAAACGGTTGATTGGTTTTCTAATACGATTTATGTCTTGTGCGCAGCTCTCTTGTCTCTTGGGTCGAATGGATTCGTTTCACTCTGGTGAGATTCAATAACGAGCTCATCTATCCATGGTAGCGTTTGTTTTCGTTTGCCAATGTTCCAGGTAATCCAGTAAGGAAATTCAATTTCCTCGCCTTCATTTTTCTCGCATAGACGGGCAAGATATTAATTGGAGATTTTAATTTTCTAGGCTTTTTGCTGTACAATTTTTGGCTATTATGCAGAGTTCGAAAACAAATTAAACAAGCTTTGGAAGTTGTAGGGGTATAAATTACATTCGTGTTAGCATCTACAAAGTTGAAAGTTCCATAATGTGAAGGAGATGGAATTGTCCATAAGCACTATGGAATACAGGATTATGATATTTATCAGATGTTTGTACCGCAAAGAAGTACCTTTATGAATAGCCCGGATCGGATGATTATATGAGCAGCCAAAGCAACTCTCAATCAAACAAATGTATTTTTGTGGTAAGAGTCACGCATTTCTTTGTACTTTTACGGAAGAATGTGGTCTAAGTCAAGCCAATATAATATTTTGCTGACATTGTATAAGTTGTATGAAAGAGATTTATAAGTAGGTACGCGCTCTTTAAGGAATTATAAACCTACCATGTCCTATAAAATCATTCATACATACATGTGTATATGCATGTGTTATATTCACATACAATGTGCATTTTAGCTATAAGCCAACATAAGGATTTATCACACAAATATTTTCCATTAAAAATGGCTTTGTTTCTTGGAAAGGAATTGCATTTATATGCTGTGTTATAATTTGTGTATATGTATTGTATTGTGCTCCTTCCAATCTATATTAAATATTAACTAACATTTGACTGTCCGTAACTTACTCAAATAAATATTCAATCTCTCAAAAGTATCGGATCATATAATTTCAAAGGACTGTTTGCGGCTTATCCAAATTTCCTAAGGATTGTAAGGACTCGCTTAAGACAGAAAACCCAAAGGAACACACATTTTTAATCCAGCTTGTGCCGAGTTGAATGGACTCAATTCAGTTTATTTGAATTATATTTAAAAACGTATTGTATACATTATCTCAAGTAAATAGTCAGGTTCATTGACAAAGCTGGCAGCTCCAATAATATTGATTCGTTAGGAAATTCCGAAGTATTTGAGGACAAATTTAGATTGGCGTAATAATTTTAATTTCCACACCGTACGTGCTTGCTTCAATAATTGTTAGAGTCCTATTCTGCAAAGAACTCTACATTACTTTAGGTTTGGAACGAATTGATTTCATCTCGCAGTTGGCGACAAAGTCGCCAAAATACAATTATTCATCGCACACGTACATAACATAACTGACGTTTCTGCAACCGAGACAATGAAAGAGACTCACAAAAATGTTATGGAAGGAAAAGTAAAGAAAATACGGCAACGTTATTTCGAATAGGACGGCTCAAGCGTTGCAAATTGGCCTAGGAGGCCAAAGGATCCCTTTAGCAAAGGACGGGATTGTACGAGTATTTGTGGACATGCACCGTTTAGTCCAAGTGTGCATCCTCGCCCAGGCAGACAAAAGTCATGCCGAGCCTTGTGGAGGGACAAAAAAGGACTGCGCACTTCTGCAGTGTGGGCGAGAGCGATCCATACTTGTTGTTCGGGACACGTCACGGTATTTACCGTCGAAACCCATTTGACATTTGACAATTATTCATTTTTCGTTTTATTTCTTAGAAATAAACCTATGTTGCATCGCACCCAATCGATTGGTTCCAAATCGTTGCAATTCAATTGAGAGCTGACTTTTTTGGCCTTTTTCTTCTTGGCATCCTGTTACCATTTCGTTTCAGCTGTTCGACACGAACTATTTGGTGTTTTACGCTCTTTTCACAGCGAACAAAGTTTCGAATCGGATTGTGGAGAGTTTTGGTTACGCACATATCGGAGTGAATCGAAACTACTCCTACGAAATGATACGCTGGAAATCGCAATTTTCACGTTAATCCTAATTACTTTTGAACTTAATTGCTTAATTAGAAACCATTTGAGTGTGGGAGAGATTATTCCTCACTGAAACGAAGTAGATTTCGATACTTTTTTGGGGGAGTATCCGAATGAAAACAGTATCAAATTCTAGGGTATGGTGTTCTCGGTTCTGGGTTGCTTTTATATTAAATTGATCCTTCTATTTTAAAGCATGTAAGATCGAACTACATGCTATAGAGGATACCTGTATGAAACATACATACATATTCTGTTGCGATATTATTCTCTAAATTCATTGACAGGTAACTAATTTCACCCATTGACATATCATTTTATTATCTTTGATGTGAACATAAGCAACATTTCAATTTTTCTATGTTTTCTTTTATTATTTTTAGTCATTATCTACGATACTCTGTTTTTAGTTTTCTCGTATCTTCAAAATTGTGGCTGCCACAGATTTTCGTTCTTTGTGCGGGAGGAAGGGGGTGGGTCGTAATTTTGAAATACAGTTGTAGCAGTGTGATATCACATGAGTCTGGAAACCAAATTTGGTTTCTCTAGCTCTTATAGTCTCTGAGATCTAGGCGCTCATCGAGACGGACAGACGGACAGACGGACGGACGGGTAGAGGGACATGTCTATATCGACTCGGCTATTGATGCTGATCAAGAATATATATACTTTATGGGGTACCTTCTCTGCGTTGCACACATCCACTTTTACCACAAATCGATTATACCCCTTAACTCTTTGAGTACGGGTATAAAAATGGAGAGATAAAAATGCATAGCGCATCATAACGTGAGAACGGCTGGGCATGTTTTTTTTCGACTGATGCCCTCGGACGAATATACACTATTCATCCACGCCAAAACGAATGCTTCTATCTTCGTTTGCGTTTGGTGAACATTAAGGCCCTACATCCTTCGCTTCCTTGCGATCTGTGGGTGGTGTGCTGTGCGCCACTTTTCGGGATGCTTGCCAACGTTTGAATTGGCTCGAAAACGATACACATTGGGACACAAGGCTCGGCGATGCAACTGTTTCTGTGCCAGCGAATGAAATTCGTACACTGTTTGCGATCATCATAGTCACATGTCAGAGTGTGGGGCGAGACAAAGTTCGCCGGGTCCGCTACGAATCATATTTGCGTAGAAAATTACCATCAGTCTGTGGGGAAGCTTGCTGGCGAAAATGGCTCCTTCTGTTCCAAATCGATGTCATAAAGCACGCATTGTCAAACGCTTCGTTCATAGAGAATTAATTACTATCTTGGTTTTTGTATTTTGTAACCTTTAAATTCTTGGAAATTCCCAATGCCACTGCAAGTGTGCCTCAAAGTAGCTTCAACTAAAGCATGGGGTAAAGGATAGGACAGTGGTCCTTGCGCTTACAGTTCCCTCAGTAATTGCAATTAATTTCGACTAGATTGTCCCGATAGATTGCCACATTATAAATATTTTCATGTCGGAGAATCCGTTACGATGCAATCGATCAGGTAAACTGTACTGTAAACTCGCCTACCTGCCCGAAGGACCAGAGATCAGACCTAACAATGCAGAAGTGATGACGCATTCCTCCATCCCTCGCGTTGCGCAGGTAGAGGGTGAGTCACCATCGGGTATAAAAGCATGCACAGCCAGACCCAGAGTATCATTCGAACTACAGTTCTCCATCTGTGCAGATCGTCGGCACCAATTCTCCATTCAACTGAAACATGTTTGCCGAAGCAGCTCAGCGTTCCAACTCCAGCACTGCTGTGCCGGAGAAGAGCTCTCTCACCGGCGCCGCCACCAACATGAAGAAGCTACTAAAAACCATCAGGCGAATCTTCACCCACTCGAAGGCGGGCAAGGATCTCAGCGAGATCCGTCACACGTGCCACAGCGAGGAGGAGCATCAGAACTGGCTAAACGAACAACTAGAGACCAGCAAAATCTCTCTCCACTGAGGATAAACTGGCGATCCCTCTGAGCATCTGTGATGGGACTTGATTGCATGGTCGATAAATGAGCACGCCGGCTTTAAACTCAAACTGTGATTAAGAGAGCACAAGACTGACCTGCTTCTGTGCCTCGAAAGTACAACACTGTACACACTGCACTATATGTATATAGAAATCTTGAAATGCTTTAACTTATCCTAAGTAATAGCTATAATCATTGTCTTCCATTAGTTTTAGGAAAATTGTCTTCCATGTTTGTTTGTTTAGGGTTCAAAATTAGGCTTAAGAATAAAAAATCCCTCGAGGAAAAAAAAAACTATCTGGTTACATTTTTTACTCACAGATTTCCTCAACTTTAGCAAGAATCTCCCTTGCCTGAAGAGAGCCTCAGAGAAATGTTCTTCCGAAATCGTCACCCTGCTCACCCTGCTCGTATGAAGCTGTGACGGATGGGCGCCTTATATCCGCATGAGGATTCACAGTGATCACTTGAAATCCAAGATATCTACTATCTGCTACTATCTGGGCATTGCCCTAGCCTCATCGCTGGGCGGCTATGGAAACCTTACTAACACGTCTCTTCTTAATGCTCATCTTTCAGGGACATTCGCAGCTCTATGCGGGACGAATTGATTTGCTCTCTCAATTTACCTCGCACTTGTCACGAGAGATGGGAAAACATAGAGCAAAAGAGAGGAACAAGACCGCTAGTTATGTTCTAGTGTTAATTCTTACAATTCGCTTATCCCCCTCTCCACCTAAATAGCTATTTGATTATTATTTTGTAGGTATATATGTATGTATGTATGGCCATTATTTATGATTCTGTGCTTTCGGTTTTCGCGAAATACACGTCCGCGAGTGTGATATCACAGGAGCTAGGATACTGCAGCACCACTCTAAAGACCAATTGCAATATTGTGCAATACAGCTGGTCACCGGCGCTGTCCGAAATCTGATGCGCCTGACCCAGAGCGTGACTTGTGCTTTGACCAACTTCCGAGCTGACCCTAATGTGACGCGTCAGAGAAATAACCGTGAAAATAGGGCTTGTGGCCCAACTCCAATAATACACATGCATGGGAGCAACTCCCTCATCACTTTCTATAAATATAACTCTTTAATTCGATAAAGAATCACAATAAGCAGAACTTAAAGAACGTCGATCTATAGATATTACAATAGCTTGCTATAGCTCTTATAGTATCTGAGATCTAGGCGCTCATCGGGACTTGCGGATGGATATGGCTATATCGAATATATATACTTTATGCGGTCGGAAACCTCTCCTTCTGTGCGTGTCCACTTCGGCCCGGTATCGGGCCATAGTTGGGAATTTACGGTTGAATGCAAGAATGGGACTTTCCCAATTGGAATACAATTGTGATTCTACATGTAACTTACATTTCATCATCAGCGGCGCCACCTGTCGTCTAAGTTCTGACGCAGGCGCTGCCACATGAATGAAAATAGTTGATAGTTCCCGCCATGCCATGGTTTCTGTTTTTTTCAAACTGTTTATTTATTTCAACGCTTATGATAAAAGTTGCTTTAACAATACACATTCGATATATGTATACATGTAAGTATATATGTATGTATAAGTGGGAAGTGCACTTCTTGGTTTTCATTATCCGTATGTTTGAGTGTGTGTGTGGTGAGATGCATGTCTATGTCTGTTTGTCACTTACTCGTACTGCATTTGCATTTGCATTTGTTCGGGGAAGGTACCACCGATACGCCGAGATATAGACTTTGTGGAAGATGAAGTATAGTTTGTCGGGCTTTGACTGCGGCTGTTCGCTTCGTAAAGTTATAGTTGTAGTTGTAGTATCCACCAGTGGCATTTAGAGTTAGTTTTAGTTGTTTAATCGAATGGGGAAGGCAGGGACAAATGCAGATGGCAAGACTAACGGAAGATTCTCGGAGTGGAAGCCGATTCGTGTGCGGTTTGCTCGTGGGTTTTCTCTGTTCAAAAACGTCTCGAAAATGTTTAATTGGAATTTCTTTCGTATTAATGTGCAATTATCTAATATTAATGCTTCGTTCATCTAAAACCAAAACGGAATGCTGGCCAATTGTTTTTTGTTTGTTTGAATCTCTAGCAAGCAGAACACTGTCCAGAATCGAGTCGATTGCAACGGAGTTACTGATAGTCGACAGAGTCACTGTCCAGCAATGTGGAGGAGACCCTCGATGTGCGCCGATTCCGGTTCCAGTAATCCGTGTAGCACGACTCGTACTGGGCAGTGGTGCGCCACGGTGGCCATTTCAGCTATTCCTCGACAATTTCCCACACCATGAGCGAAGCGTCTGTGCCGCCGACCGTGATGAGGGTGTGATCCCCGCACAGGAACCGGGCGCAGGCCAGCATGCCAGAGTACACCTTCGACTCGTGGAATTCGGCGCGCGGCGAGATGCACGGATACCTGTGAAACCGCATCGGATTAGCTAATTACATCAGAGGCATTCCACCGCACTCCCCATCCCATCCCATCCCATCCCATGGCATTGCCGCAGCTCACCTGAACAAACGCAAATATCCCTCGGCATCGCCGGAGGCGAGCATATCGTGTGCGGCCGAGCGACTGCAGGTGGCTACAATGGTGCTGGTGCTGCTGTAGTACCGATTGCTCCACTGGCCAGCCACCAGGAAGCCCACAGTGCAGTTGTTGGTCAGCCACTTGACATCCTTCATGGCAATGGGACTTCGTTCCGGCGACAGCGACTTGGCGTCCCAGAACAGCAGATCGAAGTCAATTGTCACCGTCTGCACAAAGTTGCCGTCCATGCTCCAGTCCAGGTGAGTCAGGGGCTGGGAGCCGCGTATCTTGTTGACCTTCTTGTAGGAAAAACCGTCGCGCGAGACGCGGAAGAGGTAAATGCTGCCGTTCTGTGAGCCCATGGCAATCATGTCCCCAACTGCAAGTTGCAAGAGAGAATTAAGAAAGAGTTGCATCGTATGGGACTTGCTCGAGGTATTCGATCCTACCCTGATTGTAGGCCACACAGTTGAGGGGCGAACCACAGACGCGAAGCGTCAGCATAACCGCTCCGTTCTCGCAATTGATGACCAGCAGATGGCCCTCAGTGCTGCCCGCAGCAAGAGTGCCAAACGGATGGAAGGCCAACGCCACACACTCGTACCCCGTCTGAATGGTCCAGATCAGTTTGTTCTTGCGCCACAGAGCCACATGCTTGTCGTGGCCAGCCGTCGCATAAAGCTCGTCATCCGGATGCGCAGCCAGACCCCAGAGCTGCCGGCCATGTCCAAAGACCACCTGGGTGAAGCGGCGCTGCAGCGAGCCCTCGAGGATGTTGTTGCGGGTTGTGCCCACGTAGATGTTGCCATCGTTTCGCCCAGGACGCTGAGGATAAATGGTTCGCACGCCGCCAGCGGCTTCGGGAAGCTGTCGAGTCACGAGAATAAATGAAACAAAGCTCTCCTAGAAATGAAAACTACCACCTTAGTATCGGCTATCTTTTTGTAGTTCTGCAGGGAGTCCCAGGCAGCTATCTTCCGGTCCTTTTCCCCGCCCGACAGCAGCGTTCCCTCTCCCAGCATGATCAGACAGCCGATGCCCTTGTTGTGGGCCTCGAACTCGGTGCGGACAAAGTACGCGCCATCGGAGTCCACAGAGTAGATGGTGATAAAGCCATCCGAGTCGGCCGTTATGACATCGCCGTCCGGCTCGAATTGAACGCTCGTTACATGCGAACGCGATGGCTGCTTGACAATGTCCGTGCGCTCGAAGAATCCATCTTTGCGTCGATGCCAGAAGGCCAGGTGGCCTCGCCCGTGTGTGATGATGAGATTATCATCTAGCGGATGGAATGCGGCGCCCGACAGGCCCTCCTGCAGCGTCTGCAATTGCCAAGTGGATCAGCCCAGGGATTAGTCTAGAATATTGCTTCATATGTTGGTTTACGCTTTGGACTTACGGCCACTTTGCCCAGCAGGTGACCCCATTGCCATTGCCAAACGGACAGGATGCTCTCTCGGCCGCTGTCCACGGCGAGGATGTAGCTGCCTCCGTTCTGCGAAGTAAGGTAGAGGTATGGGGTTATTTTCTCCGGCTACGTGCGTCATGTCCAAATTTTACCAGCTGCGAGAATGCCACGGCAGTGACGCCACTATCGAGTTCGCCCATGCCAAAGACGTAGAGTGTCTGCAGGGACTCTGTGCTCCAGATCCGGACATGCGCCTGCGACTTGCGATCCCGCCCAGCCTTTTGGCCCGAGGCCACCAGCTCTCTGGAGGGATGCACATCCATGCTGGCAGAGATACGAATCTATAGACTTCTGTGGGATCTATTGCGGGGTAATAGCTACTCTTACCACATAATATCTTCAGTGTGGCCGGTGTAGTGGCGCTGGGCATCCTCGTCCCGATCGAATAGCACGGCCACAGCGGCCACGTAATAGAGCAGCTCCCCGGAGGGCAAAACCCAAAGGTTCCGGCGAGCATCGATGCCACGATATCCATGGCTGAAATAAGTTACTTGATAGGTACAGACGGTACAGTGAATACTCCCATCCCAGCTTACACCCATTGGAGCTGCAACTTTTTGTCCGGCGGCGAATTGTCAGCCGGCGCATGGTGAACGGGCGGATAAAAGGTACGCCTCAAGCCCCTGATCGTAACCTTGGTGGGCTCCTCCTTCATGATGTCCAGCATGGTGTACTCCCCGTTCGGGCGCAGGATCTCACTTTCCGGCGCATACAGTATTCGCGGGCGACTCTTGCTCCTCGGCCTTGCCCCACGCAACGGCACCTTGGGCAGTTCATCCGTGGGCAGTATGGGGGCGGCGGCCACCACCGAGGGTCTCGAGCGCGACCGTCTGATGGGCGAGCCGGCAATCAGAGCAGTCCCCGTGGCCAGGTAGAAGGTGTCCACGTCGGCGAACTCGTTCCGCAGCTGGGAGAAACTGCGAACCTGTGTGTGAGCGTGAGTGTGAGTGTGAGTGAGTTGAAGGTGAGAAAACAATTTGTCAAATCATTTTGCAAGTTTGGGTTTGGGTTTGGGTCTGGGTTGGGTCGGGCGGGCTTTGTTGGGGTCTTCATTAAGTTATTAGGCCGCGTCAAGGTCGCCGTTGCTTACTGCCGCTGCTTACCTCCTGGCCAGTGCCTGTGTACATTTTCTTTGCTCCGTTAATTTTCAGCACTTGACCCAAATCCTCGAGAACTTCCTCGAATGGCTGCGAGGTGCGTAGGTTCAACAAAACGCGACACTGCAAGGGGGAGAGCGAGAGGGTGTACTCGTAAGTGGGATTATGCATGCATGTAGATGTGTACACAGAGTCACGTGTTAAACATGGTCGAGTAATTAGTCTGGCCCCAGGCATACATACTCGTATACCCACCCATACGTACATGTATGTGTGGCCCTTCAACACATTTGACTTGACCTGCGATCAAAAATTTAGTCACGGCACGCAACTTCCGCTCGGGTCCTGCCTCGGATCCTACCTACTCTGGGACCCACTAATATCTATAATTATATGCTGTCGTCGCGACGACTGTTTCTCCTCCCCCCCACTCCCTGTGGCCGCGGCACCGTCCAGGGCCACATCCATTTCCACTTCCAAGTCCACTTCTTTGGGGCGCTTTCCACAAATCGAGTCTGTGACCTAGTTTGCGTTTTATTTTAATGCTTAATACATTTTATTTGTTGGGTGGCTGCCGACGGGGAGGTGGATGAGTCAAAGTCAGAGGCAAAGGCAAAGGCAAAGGCAGGGACAGCATTGTTTGCCTTCCCCTTGATGTGAATGTTGGATATTGCTGCTTCTGTTGTTGTTGTTGTTGTTGCACTTGAGCTTGTGCTCTCATAATTGGGTGAGCCCCACTAGCAGCTCGGCCCGGACCGATGGGGCGGCCAGAAGGAGGACGCGCTTTGTTGCATTTGCCGGTTGGCGCTTCAGGTTGGCTTTGCTGCTCTCCCTGCTTACTTTTCGAGTGGAACACTTGAGTTATAATGACCTTCAGGGCCCTGATAACAGCTATTCACGCGTGCTGAAGAAGAATCTGTCTTTGTGCCGCTTCTGCCATCGTCCGGCTCTGCCTTCTCCGCTGGAACCGCCACACGGCATTCCCATTAAATTTAAGCAGCTGCCAGACCACGGAGATGGGAGATACCTCTGTTTTCCCTACTCCCCACGCCCCACGCCGGCGACAATTGGGCGAGTGAGCAGACGATAAACTTTCGCCGTGTCTGGGCAAACTCGGTTTAATTTATGTATTTAGTTGGGCTTCGAAGAAGGCGTCGGTTTAATGGTTTTATGTCCGTGTTGAGTGGTTTTCCCCAGCATCTCTGCTACTTAATTTCCCGACCAGATCCGACTGATTGCCAGCAAAAAGAAATCAGCGTAGTTTCAAGTTCCCTTCTGAACAAACCCACATCCCGTCGCGCATTATTTAAAATCACAATTTTAACTTTTTTTTGTCGTAAAAGTTCGGAATTAAATATGATTTTTGGTTGCCTTGGTTGACCAAATATTAAAACTTTTTGGGTATAATTTTCAAATCAATTATTATTATCGAAGAATGCCATACATACACACATATGTATGTACGTACGTAAAGCATTGTAATTAACACCGGATAAATGGCAAATGGACTTTTTTGTAAATCTCAGATCTCAATCGAAGTTGTTAGCCCTTTTTTTTTGTATTATTATCTGAGCGATTTGTCCTTTCCACCAGATGGAAAGGAAACCACTTCCGATCTTATAAAGACACCCGTCCAAGTGTAGTTGTAAGGCACCAGCGGTCAAACAAATAAGAGTTCTTTTCTAGTAGTATTTTTTGGTCTATCGAGCCTCGGACTTCCAAGAATTCTCATATATGTACATGTTTAGTCCGATGCAAAAGCAAACATTTTTTTACCGTGCTTTTTGTTTTCTTCTTTGATCTATCGGTTTCTATTCGTTGTTGTCTCACTTTTTCGTTGCTAGTATTTTGATTTACAGTGACGACGCATGTCCGTTATGGGTCGTTAGGTTAACTGGTTCAGGTGTCGTCCTCACCGGACTGGAGCCAAACGATTGTTTGAAACGGCCACCTTTCGCCTCTATTTATCACAATATATTGATGGCTTATCAAATCGGTGCACCTGTGGCCTAAGGTCCGGCGAAAATATTTGAAACGAAGTTGCTGACGGAATGGTTTTCCCAAGCATAACTGAGTCCTAGAAAGGCTATAAAAAGTCTACAGTAGTTCGTTAAACCCACCTAACAAGCTCTTTAAGCTCAGTTCAAAATCAATTTCTCTTGCATACAGGAAATTGTACAAAAGCTTTTCCTTCACAGCCCCAATCGAGTGTCACTCAATTTGCCGGAAAATGAATTGAAGGGACAGAAGCTGAAAGATGCTTTTAATAATTTCGTGCAATGCATTTTGGGACGAGATGCAGACGGTCCATGTCTCTGCCATAAATTATGCATGGATATCTCTCAGTCCCTCCCCTTGTACGCGTGTGTGTGCGTGTGTGTCACACAGATATGCATATATAAACGCATACTCGCACAGGGGAGCTATTCACAAGATGTCCTGATGATGTGCAGAGAGAGGCCTCGGAATTGACTACTCGTATAAACAAATATAATTATGTGAGCAAATAATTGCATTACCGAGAACGTTGGCAGCTCCAATCACGTGACCCCAAACAAATGGCGTTTGTTAAGCCAATTACGTGCACTTTTCGTATGGGGATTCGGGCTCGGCTCCCTTCCCCATTCAGGTACTGCGCGTGGGGGTGGCAGTTGAAAGGGAGGGAGCAGGAAGAGATGCCAAACAGCTGCCGGAAGGAAACGGGCGTCGACGTGGACACAGGACCTTCATCTGGCTGTGCATTCTGTGTCCTGTGTGTGATTTAAATTTTCAGCATTTCTCTCCGCTTTTCCCCTTTCCCTTGCCCTCCTTTAAGGGGGGTTTTTCCGACATTCAATCGTTGGGCCGCTGCATGGCTGATTTAATCTTGGTGACGTCCAAACCACTCCAATTTTTCAAATATTTTCGTTTGCTTGCTCCGCTCCGATACAAAGGAATTCCAATAAAACACAAACATGCAAAAAACAAAAGACGTTAAACTGCAGGGGCAGCAGAAGCGGCAGCTTTGTAGTCCTTGTTGTCGTCATCGGCAACGTCCGTAGAGTTGCATAAAAGGGACCAAAAGCTATTTAAATGAAAACGACGGAGCAGAATACACAAGTTCACACAGCGATTGCGGCTAAATCGGATCTAAGAATTATTTATGCCAGAACTTTAATGGAAAACATGGAAGCTCGTTATGTACATATGTACATATTATATTATGTGCAGCAAAACTTCCGAAGTCAGGTATTTTTCAGAGTCTGGACCCTTTTAGATCGAATTGACAATTCTCTGTGGGAGTGCATTCTCAGGCTGTGGCAACTGAAAGATCGGTTATTTTATGCCTATTTTATTTTGTCTTTTTTAGTGTTTGTGTTCACTGAAAGTCGCATGGGGAAGAGGATGCGAGAATGTTGTCATTTCTACACCCCCGTGGCTGTCCTATACGAAGGGAAATGCCTATACATATCTATATATCCTGAAATGCGTAAAGATTCGTGCCTCATGCATACATTAGATGTCATGTCCATAAACACACAATAACTGAAGGCCAAAATTGTTTCATACGTCAAACACCTGAGTTGCACGTTGAGAGTCAGCCAACAAACAAAAGCAAAATAAAATGTGACACGTTGCACTTTAGATTGGCAAACGAAACGCCCAAGCCCTATGGGAAAAGTTAAAGTGTGCTGCTGCTGCTGCAGCGAACTCCGCAAATATTGAGTAGCATGCCATTATGCATAGCCATTTATTGTGCCTTTCCATCGCATTACCCGTGCGAGCATCAGCCGGGAAGCAGGGGCACTTGATGCAGACATTGATATACTCGTAGATGTAGATGTAGTCGCTCAAAACAGGGCCCAGACGCAAACAAAACCAACAGACACAGACACAAACACAAACATAGCAAAAGACACGGACACAGAAGCAGACGCAGACACGAGAAGCAGGAAACAACTGGGCTACGTGAGGTACAGTGTCCATTGATTATGGGAAATAATAAGCTCAATGCCTGGGCTTGTATGTATATGTATTATCTTTGGCATTTTGCATTAGGGTCTGCTGGGCTAGATTGGGGCGACGGAATCTTAAAGCTTCCTTCCAGATCTATGGCCTCTGAAATATGTACATGTTGGGTTGGAAATTCTTTATGTACAAAGTAATCTGAAACATATCAGTTTCGTTAATTATGTAAAACATATAACCAATTAACGATTGCCGTCCACTATTTTCTCGCGCCACTGTGCTCGGGGGAGAAGGCAAAACGATGGAATCGGATCTCCGAATAATGTACGTGTAGTGGAATCGGCGTCAGAACTTGGTGTTTGGCGTACTCCCTGCTTTCAGCGAATGTTGTACAAAATATATATTTTAGCCAGGACTTCGTCCTTTGGCCCGACCGACAACGACAGCGACGATGACATGTCCTTGGCCTTGGTCATTGAGCGCGTGCACTGTTCGGTTGAACAACAAAAGCAGCGACTACTACAGTTTCCTCTTTTGCAGTTGCTGTCGGTTGTACTTTGGTCAAATTTGCATTGCAAACTCCATTAAGTGGGTCTTGCGAGCGGGGAGCGGAGGTCTGACTCGCTTGCTTTTGTTGTCGGCTATTTTTCCATTGTCTGCCATTGTCTCTCCCATTAATGGGATTCGATTTAGGTCTGGCAAACCACTCTCCGGCAGACGGACAGAAAGTTTTCCTACCTTGGATTGGGTCGATCAGACGCAGCGAATCCTCGGCCAAGGTTGAAAGGGCCTTGATCACGCGCCGAAAGGTGTCGAAACGCCCACAACGTAATGTATTTTGATTCATAAAGCGGCACGAATGCCCCACCTATTCGGCTCGAATCCCGCCTGAGAAAAAAAGGGCTACAAAAATTGTACTTGCACTTAGCAAAATTACCATAAAACGTTACTACGACAACGGCTTTGGAGGAGGGGAGTGGGGACGAGGACGACGACGGACCACGTTTATAGTGGCAAAGCCAATTCATATTTTAAAGGCATTTTCGTAATAATAACATAAATTACGAGACTGCTCGGCTAGAGTGAAAGGGAAAGAGTTATGGGGCCGTTCCGTAGTACCGTACCCCAGATGGCAGGAGTTTCCCAGGCCGTACCTTGTTTTTCGTCTGCTTTCTTGTTTTTAAGGGGTATGTCAGCGGAAATTACCAAATTGACCGTGGCTTCAATTTTGTTGCCGTTCGCTGTTCGCCTGTTTATCCAGCCGCCTGCCTGGCTGCCTGCCTGCATACCAGTACAATAAAACACAAATTGCAGACAATTGATTTTCCATATGATTGCTGCAGGGCCCCGAAAGTGGGCAAAGGTTAATTGCACCCTTCTTTCGGGCTCCCACACACCTTTCATCATTTTTTGAATGTCAAAGTGAATGGGTTTTTGTTGACTGTCATGAAAGTTTAATCCCTGCACTTGCACTGGTAACGATTTAATAGAAAATGTATAATAAATTGGGAATTATAATTGCGCAGTCATTAAAGCGAGACCGAAAACCGAGTCGAAAAAATGGGATATTGCGTTTGAAAAATGGCAACCGCAACTAATGATGGTCCCGAGAGTGGGTTCAAGAGTTTTCGCAGAAAAAACGAACTTTATTCAAATGTGTGTCCTGGGCATATAAATTGTCGAATTATTTATGCGCTGGATCCCTTAATGACAGATAGTCAGTTCTGGGGTCAGAGAGGATAAAAAAGGGGAGCAAAATAAATAAACTGCGCTGACCATTAAATATTTATGGCAAATATTTATATAAACAAAAGCGAATCGGTTTGGCATTCAATCGACCTCGGAGTTGGCCCCAATTTTTTAGCCCACCAGCGAAGCTGAAAAATAAACTTTCGACAAAATGCATTTCACTATTTGCCAGGTGAGGTGGCATCGCCATAGCAGCTATATGCTCGTGCTCTTATTTGTATAAAACTTTCCGCATTCCTCTGTTCAATATTTAAGAACATTTTTATCGGCTGGCTTTCCGCATATTTCGGCCATCACTTTGCATAAATTTCAATAGACTTTGGCGGCTCGGCCTCGGCTACAAGTGTCCGACACTCTAATGCAATAGTCAAACAAATTTACATAAATATTGCAGTCCGATGCGCGCTTTAATCGCGCCAATTAAAACATTTGCCCAACGCATCGCTGCCCCAGCACAAATACCGATGTACCGAAATAGCAAAAATTCTGGAAAATGCAACGCACGAGGTGCAATTTCGCCAGATTCCCCCACATCCGTGCACTTCAACAACAAAAATATTTGTGTGCATTGTTGAGGACCTGGACCTCGGTGGGCTGGAACAATAAATATCGTACGAGTCTGCGATGTCGGGAGAGGACTCCAAACCCCGAACCCCCCACTCACCTGCACCGAATGATCCAAATTATTGATGATGCGTATCACACGGCCGGCACTGCGCTTTATCGAGCCTGATGTGGTCGATAATGTGCCCAAATCCGCTTCCATTATTGAGGGCTTCCGACTGGCGGGCTTGGAGCCCCAGCCCTGATTTCCAGGCGATGCATACCACATCCCGTTCTTCTTGCCGTAACTGGCAGGCTATTCGAATAAAAGAAAATGAGAGAGATAGAGAGAGAGAGAGAGAGAGAGGGTGAGTGACAGAAAGAGAAAGAGAGAACAAGAGGGGGGAAGGTATGGCAAGTGAGAAACAAATAAATAGTAAAAGTACGTGCGAATTGCTGAATTTTTGGCAACGGGCTACAATCCACTTCCCATCGCCCATGGTCACTTCCAGCCCCATCGCCATCCAAACCTCATTTTTACATATACAATATGTATATTGTGCGTACGAGAATGCATATGCCACATTCAGATCGCTGCCATCGACATCCCCATCGCGGCTTTCGCGAAAAATTCCTCGCAAATCTGGAATTAATTAAATTGTTTTGCAGCACGCACCGCTACAGCTCTGGCTTGACCATGGATGTGGACCTGGACACGCAACCACTCACGTCACCCCAAAATGCCAAAATCAACCAAATCTCATCCCCGCAAACACTCACGCACTGCCAGATTGTGTGCTCTTCGCAATACGAGTATGTACCCGTATCTGTGCGTGAGGTTGGGTTGATTTGGTTGTCTGTTTCTGAACTTTTTCCTCTCGCCCTTTTTCGGCTAAAGGTATCAAAATTGCTCGACCACGGCTCGGTCTTAGATAGGAGTTCGTGAGGGGACTGCGAAAGATGATGGTACTGTGAAAGGATGGGAAGAAGAGCTTGGCATAAATGCAATAATAGAGACAGATGAGATACTTCTGATATCAGTACGTTGCACACATAGAATAGTCTTAACACTTCTCGTTGAATACTCTTTACACTTATAATTGTATGTTAATTGCTCGTTTGTTTTGCATTTCTTGTGATTATTTCGTTTTTGAGTATTCAGTTTTGCGAGGAGTCTATTTCTGGCAATCCCTTTCGCTATCACGCGCTCATCTCTACACCGTTCACTCTGCCGCCAAGCCAAAAACTCGAATAGAAATCTGCCTAGCTGCCAATGTACATATGTACATACATACGAGTATGTGGATATTGGCATGTTCTTTTATCTCGCTGAATGATTACAGCAACTGACAGTGCGAGATTAGTTCGGCCAAAACTTGAATAAATTATCAGCAGAACGCATCGAATCTCCCGCCGACCCATCCCTTAAGTGTTCGATGAGGTTAATCATACATACGGGTGCTCGTACTCGTATTCTTGCCGTAAGCTTTCCATTTGCCTAATCATCAGTAATAGCCACAGGCCTCACTGTCGTTCGAAGTTGAGAAGTCTTTGACAAATATTTACATATATGTACATATGGCCTTCTTGATATTCGATTGAGGAAAAGGATACTTTCATTTGCGTTTTGGCCATTCTCTCACAATCAATTTGACAAATGCATTTATGCTGTTTTTCAATTGTTTCTTGTATTTTTCACATATTTTGGCTATACCTGTACAGAAGTTTCTGTTCTATGAGAACCAGTCAAAATAAATAAATTGTTTAATTTAATTTTAATTGCTTTCGTCTTCCTACATCGTCCGTCGTTGACGTGCTTGTCGTTTGAGTTCCTTTCGTTTGATTTAAAATTCGTAGGTAAAAATTCAATTTTAATTCGGGTCCGATGGATTTTCAATTTAATTTTCCTTCTGGCTCTCCCTCTCTCGTCTGGCCGCAATTGATTCTTCACCAAAGGTGAGGAAAGAAAGGCCGGTTGAGGGGGAATAAGGGAGAGAGGCAAGGGCGATACACTCGTACAATAATTGTAAACCGAAAACGGGAGCCAGAGGACGAAACAAAAACTGTAAACTGAAATTAATGTAAATTCGTTTTTAACACAATTCCTCAACCAGCAATTTTACGTTTTCTTTGTCGGGCCGAAGCTCCTACCCCCGTCTGACCCAAAATCCGAATGATGTTTGGGTCTGGGTCTGGGTCTGGGCCTACGCTCTTTGAGCGTATAGAAAGCTTTTTGCGGGAGCCCAGCATGTGCACAAGGTTACAATCAAAATCAAGGCTTTTAATTGAAATTCAACAAAATGCAAAAATTCAAATATCCTGCCTGAATATGTGTGGGTGTGTATATCTGTGCTTTTGGAGATTTGGTTTGTGCAAAGCGTATACGTATGCATGTGTCAATGATTGCTTTCGTCGTTGGGATTCGGACTGGCACTGATACTGTGAGTGGGAGTAGCAGTGGACACACACGTGACGGGACGGGAACTCCCTCTTAACCACCGGAAAAAATCAATTAAAAAATATAGTATCGGCAGAACATAATAATAAACATTTATGTATGTCACCCATTAAATCACGAATGAATATATTTTTATTCAATAAAATACCAAAAAATTCTAGCGTTTTTGCGATTTGTTCTCTAGCTGAATACTTATCCAAAAATATTTGTCTGGCTATTCGACCTGTCACTAATAATATCTCTAATAATTATAATCCATCAAAATTAATCGAATTTTATAATTAGTAGTGGTAATGCGATTATTTCTGGAGTGTTTCCGATATTATTTCTAATTATTCAAAGCTTATTTAATTTTTCCTGTGAAATGTTTGAAGCTAAGGGCATACTCTGCGGGAAAGAGAGCATGTTAACTTGTGAAGAGATAGGCAGCAGACTTCATATTCTCACAAATATTTTGACACTTATTGTATGCCTGTCTATCTGGCGAGATTCGGAAGCACCAGTTGAACGCTTGGAAATTACATTTATGTATGTCCCATTATTATGTTAGGGTGTTGAAGCATTCGATGTGGTACAGGAAGACTTCCCTTTATGTTTGTATTCAGCAATTTGTTTAAATACCTCGTGACTGACTAAATACAATTTTATTTATTTAAGCATAAGAGATTTACAGGATACTTATGCGGGAGTGCGGGAGAAATTTAAAGCAGCGATTGGCCTAGCCAAACCCTTGGGGAACGGCACTCCTGCTGGACTCCCACTTGGGGAAGTGCCGGCTGGTTCTGCCACTTAGCAACTATCATCAGAGCCGATCCGAGCCGAGCTGGGGCAGAGGGCTTGGGGCAGCTTGGCGAAAAGCTTAAATTACGCGCTCAATTAAACTTTAAGCAAGTTGGAAGAGGGCGGGCCGCAATAAAAAAGGGGCTGGGGCGGAATCTAAGCGCAACTTCAAAGCCCTTGCCCCGTTTGACGTGCAGCCTCGCAGAAAATTCAGTGAAGCCAACGACAACGCAACGACACAACGTGACACAACCTAAAGGCGCTGATGTGGGGCGTGGCAGCGTCTGAGCGGCGACGGATTAAGATGCCGCATTTTACGCATATTTAAGCCAAAGCCCAAACCCCTGTCCCCTAATAATCTAGTGATTATTACTTGGGGGAGCCAGAAGCGAGATGTGGGTAGCCGCCTGAAATGGATTTTTGTTCCGACATACTCGTAAGCAAATAAAATAGTTTTCCCGATAAACTGGTAAACAAATAAATACATATTGACATTTATGTCTGTGTTCGTCCCGGCCCCCTCCTGGCAACGCTCGTTTAATGTTTATTGAATTTAAAATTTATTTACAATTTTGCGTATACTTAATTTAAATGGGGGTTTCACCTTTTGGTGGATTTGCTTGTCATGGAATGGAATGGATCCCGGAAATCCAAGCAAATAAAATTGATAAGCGAATAATTGGTCAATTCCGTTTCACTGTTTGTTGTAGGACCTAATTGAAACCAGGGATCCAAGCCTAAATTCTAAATTCTTCCTCTTAAATTCTTGTTCTGGAAGTAGTTTGATTTTTTAAGCACAGCTCCCTACTCTCCTTACCCTCCGTTTGTTTTTCTTTTGCTAGCTAATTTAATTTCACAACCAGATATTCCACTTGTTCAGCAGTTTAGAGTAAATTCGGGCTAATGCAAATATCATACTCAATATGGGGCGCAGCATAAATTTGGGCTGACGTGGCACACGCCACACGCCACATGCCGCAAACACACACACACTCCCATGCCATAGACACGTGCAGTTTGCCAGCATGTTTGAAGGCGAAGTGGAATACAATATTTAAAATTGAGCATACATCAACAAAGGCAGCCTGACAGGAGGACAGTATGAGATGCAGCGGCCAGCACACGTAGACCATTAAAAAACACTTAGAAAAACAACAAAAGTCATTTAAACTTTCAGCCAACTTTTTTACCAACCTCTCGCTCTCAGAGGAAAAAAATGAAATGTGAAATTAAGAGATGTGTGTGAGAGGCAGGGAGACTGGGGGCCACTAGAGATATGTATGTACATGTACATGTACATATATGTATATGTGTATGTGATGTGCCGGACACGGACCCGGTCTCTTTGTTTGCACTGACCCAAGACTTGGTGGGGGATGTGAGCATCACAAAGGGCGAACTTTCCTCGCTATCCTCGTCGATGTACATTTAAGCAAAAGTTTCTTCCTCGTTTCCCAGGGTTTACGAATGGGAGTGGGTGGGCGACAGCGAGTGCGAGTGTTCGGGGCACTTTTAATTCAGTTGCACTTTTATCCGCCGCACGGCATCAAGTTGATATAAAAAGGCGAAGAAGCAGCACGAGAGTGCAGCAATAAATGTAATTTTCTGCGCGCGTTTTCCTTCGGCCTTAAGTGAGTTAATTGAAATCATTTACATTTAATTGCACTTTAAATGAGTTAATACGTGGCTCTAGCTGGGTGTGCTAACTGGCTGGAGTGCTATGGCTATCGGAAGGTATTCGGGCAACCGTTCACATTTCGTTTAGGTTTCGCTGGCGTTCGCAAAGCAACTGTCGACAGCTCCAGTCAATGGAAATCTAGGCACTGAGGTGGTGTCCCTGTCCGTGTCCTGCCACGCTATGTCTTACGTTACGTTCCGCCGCGTTACGCTATCCACAGCACCGATTGACCAGGTTTATGCATGTATGGCGCTGACGAATAAACATGCATGGGTGAGTATAGGTGTATATATGTACATGGCGTGTATGTGGAGAATATTCAAATTGGCAACTCAGCACCACACTCTTGAGGCACCACTCTGCCACACTACTCACTATATCCCTCTCTCTCCCTCGCTCT